TCTTTTGACTAGTAACTTTCGACTAATTTTTATTGTATATATATGTGTAATGTTACATTTTAAATGACAAAAGTAGACAGAAACATTGACCAAAAAAATCTTCGCTTCAGTAGTGTCATAAAAAGCATAAATTCACATTATGCAAGTATGACGGTCTTCAGTTGCAGATCTCCAAATGAACCTATAATTTATGAAAAACAAATAATTAAAATCATAAAAATTAGAGCAGAGATATAAACAGATTCATAAATTAATTTATGCTGTTTGGTCAGGGATGCACTATTGCAAAGTAATCAAACAAAACCATGACCATATTCTGACTTTTGCTTTACAGATAATACAATAAATAATCCAGTAAGTTAATGACTGATAATACATTTTTTTAATAAAATTGGATATTTCTTCATTGGATGCCTGTCACTTGTGTAGTTAAAAAATTTACTATTTTATAAACTTTATTATTATTGTAAGATTATAAAATTCTAAATTATATGTGTTGCAGGGGCTATTTGTATAGTTTATATAGATTTTTGTATAGAATTCTTAACCTTGCAAAAAATTTCCCTTATCGCTATATAACATAATGAAAAGAACTGAAGTAATATTGTAGCTTTACATGAATTTGGGAAAAACATCTTAATAACGAAAACGGCTTCTTAACAGCTCGGTACATCTTAGGGTTTTAATGATTATCCATTTTTAAGGCGATTTCATTTTCTTCTTAATTTTCTAATCTAACTGTCATTTTTTCCTCCTCATTTAATTGTGACATCAACTCTACAGTTAACATTTCTGACGAAAAAAACGGGGATTGTGAAAAAGAAACTTGCTGTTATGACATAAAATGTTAAAATGTTATGCAGAAAGTGAAAGTACGTTTATAGAAAAGCCACTAAAGTCAGAATTGTTTCAGACTTCATTGAAGAGACTTCATCCAGTTAGAGACACTAAAAACATTCCGTCTCAGAGGAAAAGGAGTCAAATCAGCCAGTTCCTATACAAGGCACAGCTTTATTAACTGCTGGAGTACAAGAATGTTTAAAAAATTAAGCAAATTTGGCAATGATTGGGACAACGACAAATTCTTAAATTTGAGTTAAAATATCTACTTTATATACGACACTTGTGTTGAAAACGTTTTAATTTGAAGAAACATTTGGTTAAGAAATAATGAATTTAATTCAAAATTATTTGCTTCTGTGTTTGCAAAAATAAATATTATTAATATTTTATTTATTAAAACTTATTTATTTGATAACAAATTAAAACATTTGATAAATGTATCTTGTCCTTTTTAAACCGTAGCCTTTTCACTTTCTGTCACATTCCTCGGACTATTTTGTAACTACCCGATAAAAATCCGACAGTATCGCAAAAAAAGCAGTAAGTGCATATATATACTTTAAATTGCAAAATGTTTAAATACATGAGGATGTTACAGAAACAGATATATCCTCCTCTTCTTTTTCCTTCTAACCTAATTTTATAAAGCTGAGGGAGGAATATAGATATTCGTTTTGAAAGAACGTTTCCAAAATATTTTTATACTGAAGCAAGGAGAAAGAACATACAATAAATTTAATACTCTGTTGGCATGCGAATAGCAGAGAACGAATACCTCAATGAAACTATCGGAATAAAGATGTTATAAGAATTTTAACTTGCAACGTATAGAAAAGGATCCTTAATTAGTTTAAGTAGTCATTATTACGCAATAGTCGAAAGACTGATCTTATGGTCTCCATTCGTACAAAGAGACCTGTTCACCAGCAAACGACCCGTAAAATCACTAAACAGTGGTATTTCGACAGGTTTTCAAATCACAGAAAATGGTAACTGCATGCTATCTTCCGCAGTTTCAGCATGCGTGTGGATACGAGCAAAATTCGGTTGTGAGGCCTTCATCCCTCCCTTTAGACAGATAGTTCGCGTGCTCTACAGTAGCCCGAATAATCGTACAATGAAAGCATGGAGAAGGAAAAATACGACTGTAGTTAAATGCTGAAATGTCTCAATTTAAAACATGAATTTACTGTTCCTTAAACATGATTTTACATGAGATCTTGGCAGGCTGTTCAAACGTCAGTCAATTTCAATGCAAGAAAATGCTCTAGAATTATATTCAATTGAAGGTTATCAGAATATATAGGACGCTTTCACTTTTTTAAATATTTATGTATATGTGAGAATGTCTGTATGTAGACCTTCCTGAAATGTTGAGCATTTTAGTCATTTCTAAAGTTTAATAATAACTAATAGCTCTATAATTTTCCAATGAATGTATGGATTAGAAAAGGGAGTGTGAAGAAAACCCTGAGATTTTACTGGCGGGATTACTCAAATCAATATGATTTCAATTACGTATGTAAAAGGGTAGGAAATTTTTAAGTGTTTGCTAATGTGTTTTGCTGAAAATGATTAATTACTTATACTACTTGCTGTATACACTAATTACTTGTAATAATTATCTATCAGTTTTACAATTTACAATTACTTATAAATAAGAAGAACTGGTAAACATTTCACATGAAATTAGCAACTCTTTAAATAAATTAGGTTAACTTCAGCTTGTACAAGTCTGATAACAAACATTTGAACTCTATATAAGAAACCATTGTATTCCTCCAAGCACACGTGTGTAAGCGGTAGCATATCCAGCTAACGCAGGTGGTGACAGGTGAGAGCAGGGTCCGGACACCCGGGCGGCTTTCACTGACTATTCGGGTATCGTCCGAATCCCACAATTGTCCAGAAAAAGAATATTGCAAACAGGGGCAGATGGAGAAAAACAGGGGTATTGCGGATTCCTACAATATCATTGCTTATTATACAATATAAAGATACTTACATCAAAAAGTGCTGTTAGTATGTTGAATTATCACAATAGTAGTACATCGTATTACATTATACAGTGCACTATTATAATAGTCGATGCATGGACGATAAATTAATACGTATAATAATAAAATTTTATGAACTCTACAGACATTGCAGAGCGGTATCAGTGCGCATTGCTAAATATATTATACATTACCTATAGCTATATATATTATACATTAATATTACATGCATACAATACATTAATACACAGATAACATAAAAGGTGCATTCGATATATTGCTACACTATACATTAATAGTAAACTTGATTTAAGTCATACAATAGGAAAAAAAGTACCTAAACTCTACAGACATTTTGGAGAGCAATACCAATGCGCATTACGCAACTTATAGCTATATACATTATACATTAATAACACATACACATGTCCATTACATTGATACATACATAACATGAAAGGTGCATTCGATATATCAATATAATTACATAATACATTATACATTAATAGTACACTCGATATATTAATACATACTATAATAAAATTTACTTAACTTTACAGACATATTGCAAAGCTGTACCAGTGCACATTACGCAGCTTATAACTATATACATAAATAATACAGGCACACATACATTACATCAATACATACGTTACATAAAAGGTGCATTCGATACATTAATAGGTGCACTGGATATATTAGTGCTTACAATAATAAAAATTTTCTATATTCTACAGACATATACTAGTTCAAATTGTACAACTTAGTTATAAGTGCGTGAGTGGGAGCGACGAAAAAAATATCGTGTACCAGAACTTATTTCAGGCGCCATTGTAGATTACATAGATTTCTTTGGAGAAAGAAGCATTCAAAGTCAACCGTACCTTCGCCGGGATTCGAACCTAGAATCTTCCTTGCAGAGCGGAACACGGTCCCATCTAGCCATAGGAGTCCTAATTCTTCACGGATATTAATATCTTTCTACCAGTTAATGCAATGTCAATGCATAACTTTAATGATCAATCTAATCGACTAGGGTAATGCACATTTTATCTTAATGTAATGTATGTATGCATGTACTATTATTGTATAATGCATATGCATTATACTTGTATAATGCATATGCATTATACAAGTATAATTTTATGTATTTTTAAATGGGGAAGATACTTGTATAATGCATATGCATTATACAAGTATAATTTTATGTATTTTTAAATGGGGAAGATACTTGTATAATGCATATGCATTATACAATAATAGTACATGCATACATACATTACATTAAGATAAAATGTGCATTACCCTAGTCGATTAGATTGATCATTAAAGTTATGCATTGACATTGCATTAACTGGTAGAAAGATATTAATATCCATGAAGAATTAGGACTCCTATGGCTAGATGGGACCGTGTTCCGCTCTGCAAGGAAGATTCTAGGTTCGAATCCCGGCGAAGGTACGGTTGACTTTGAATGCTTCTTTCTCCAAAGAAATCTATTTAATCTACAATGGCGCCTGAAATAAGTTCTGGTACACGATATTTTTTTCGTCGCTCCCAGGACTTGATAGAATGGGCCTCTTCCTTCCCTGAAGCCACTTTTTAAATGGGGAAGATTATAAGCATTTATCGTATTCTCCCGTGGCAGCATGTTCAGCCAGTGATTCGATGATTTTATGCGTTTCCTTCTGATGTCTTTATACTTGTGCATCTAACAAAGAACTGTCCTGAAATGTGGCCAAAAATTTCAAAACTCATTTTATTTCATTAGCAAATCAGCGATACACCTTTTGATGAAATTTTTGAAAGAAAGCCTTCTATTTTAGTCAAAATTTTTAATTTTTTTTTTTTCTTGATATATATTTATTTGAAAAGCACAAGATGCAAATTTATTATTTTAAAGCATTCTACGTAATTTTAAATGTATTTCATTCTATGTAACTCTCAGTACCGAGTATATTTCATTTATTCAGTTACAATTTAACATGCTTATTGCGATGAATATGTAATTATTGTTTTCCGTTTGTGTATTTTTATTCATTATTAATGATTAGCTTTTAATGAATAAGTTAAAACAATAAGAGATTTGTGCATTTGTTAAATCTTGTACTGTTACTGATTTTAGTTTCATATATGTTCCACACTCTTCATATCTTCCAGATTCGACGCGACCAGATTTATCCGTGTTTCATCCTCTTAACACTACTGTGAAATATGGATCGTCGGCAACTTTTCAATGCAGAGTTCGAAGTGAAGCACCACCTAACATTCAGGTAGATATCAATAAAAGCACTGAATTATTGTAAAAATACTGTAGTGTGTATATATATAATAAAATGTTACCTATTTGCTTTCAAAATACAGGTCTTGGCACAACAGCAAGAGTAACAAGAGACATCTGTTTAGTGAAAGATGTTGAATTTCATTTGGTTTAAATAACAAGCACTTTGTCAATTTTATCGCAGATTAATATTTTTAGAAACTTTGCTGAAATATAATTATTTCCATTTCTTTGCACTCCTAGAAGCCATAACCGCATTTTTTCTAATTATTTTCAGCATTCTATATTCATAAATCCCTCTATAATCTCCTTCGTCGTAAAAAGCATTTAGACTTAAAACCTTGATGCAGCACTTAATCAAATTAAGAGAACCAATTATATTGAGTATGGAAGTGATGTAGACCAAGCAAACAGGACATTTCTAATAATTTGTTAAGAATTTTTTAAAGAGGTTTTGTTCTTAAAGAAGATTTTCTTTAATATTGCGTAGTTTTACTTGCTCTTAACTTGTACTGTATTAATGACGTATTTAAACTTTAATTCTGTCTTTCCTAAAGAAATTCTACTTAACGTGATTTTAAAGAATTAAGAGAAAGAAAAAATACTTAAGTCAAAACTGCACTTCTTGAAGCTGTAGAAACAAAGCTCTGGAAAATGTGATTCACTTACGAAGAAGGTGTTCTAACCTTGTACTCTCAAATTTTCTGGAAACGATACATATGTTAATCAAAAACTGCATAGTAATGAAAACATAGCTGCTGCTATTCTATAGATAAGTATTTAGAAACTATAACAAATAAGACGATTTGGTGAATCAACGCTATTTGGCGACTTTAAAACATTTTACAATGCCGTTTTGAAAATTTTGGGAAGTCATCAATCTGGTTGACTCATGCAATGAAAACGTGAAACAAAGAATTGAGATAAAAAGGGAAAAATACATATTTCGGCTGTCACTGCACAGCAATTTAAAACGATTGGCTAAAAAAATAATAGAAATTTAATCTTTGAAAAATTGCGTCATATTAAGAAACATTCTGGAAATTATTTTCTCGCGGAATGATTTTATCATAATTATTTTAACTCCCATATCATAATTATTTTAACTATGATATGAGACATCTTAGTTATTGATGATCGCAGCCATGATTATTTTAACGCGGTACAAACAGTACACTCTTTATATAATGATAAATACGCTGATTATGAATTGAACTTACAGCGATAATGTGCAAAACGGTAATGTCAGATAATGTGCGAAAAGAAAATTATCGAAGCAGTATATTTCTTTTTCATCATCTGTTACAAACAGCGAACTGGATTGTATTAAAACTTTCAGAACTTCCAGACCACCGGCAGCCGTTTGGTAAACCACCCCTTGCATACATATAGTTCAATTTTTCTTCAAAATAAAGTATACAGACTTCCTGCATGGAAGTTTTCGTGCTTTTTGGTTGATAACATAGTAAATGCGAGCCATTAACTTACAAAGAGCTCCGTTTGATTTAAATTCTTTCTGCCATCGATAGATACATGGAGCTCATTCTCACAATAATAAAAATGCTGAAACAATTTTCCTTTTCGAAATCTATTATTGAGTTCTCTTTTTTTTTTTTTTTTTTTTTTTTTTTTTTTTTTTTTTTGCAAACTACGATAGAATTTACCACCTCTTACTTACCGTATCTAAATGAACAGTATTTTTTTTTCCAGATTCATTTTCTGAAAAAATATTTGTGGATTTGTCTCCATTATTAAATATGTTATTTGATTCCTTTTCAGAACCTAGTCACTTTCTTCAGTTGACGAGGAGAGGATTTTTTGCTATTGCTTCGTCAACCGTTATTTCCCTTGAAATATCATATTCCCAGAATTTTTTTTTTCACTTTAATATCTTCTTTTGCAAAATCTTATAATTTTAAACGTATGACCATATAAGCTTGATATAACATCCATACTACATTTCATGAATTTATACTTCCGAATAGGAATGTAGTATCAAAAGTCTAATTTAATGTCTCTTTAAATTCTAGACTGACAGTCAGCTTGAGTGCAAGATAGAATAAAATTATCTGCAGCTCGGAAAAAAAAGAAATTTTTAAAAAATAGTGGCAGCATTTTATAGTTATTAAATCAATATGCAACATAAATAAAGAGTAAAAAACTGAGTATAGTTAACTTCAAAGGACTGCCTGCAAAGCTTTGTAAGGCAAAATTTCAGTTTTATCGGATATATAGTACATAAATTTAAAAATATTCCTTAGTAAATCAATGCGGATAGAAAATGGAAATTACAAATTTAATTGTATTTAGTAACGTTGCGCTATTTTAGTGATTTCACGAAACTGAAAAATTATGTCAGAGAGCTGGTTCTTGCCGATCAAATACACGCTATTAAAACATTTGTTTTAAATTATCCATAAAATACCAGCTGCTAAATTTTTTACTTTGATGTATATTTAGGTGAGTAGATTCATAAGTATTTTTTAGAAATCTGAAAGATGAAGATTGTGAGACATTCCTTGCTAAAGGAAATAAGTGAGAAAAAACTACTTCTTGAGCTTTTCTCTTTCCAGAAAGATCTATGTTGTTCGTCATCCATCTGGCATGTTATAAAGTATCATTGCGGATCTGGTGCTTATATGAAAGAATATTTTATTTCCACCTCCACCTAAATACGAAAGAATATCTCTGGTAGTGGCTGAACACCTATATAACAGCAAAATAATCTTTGAAAAACTTTCGACATGATTTATTTTTTGCAAAATTGTTGGGTCTCATGCTTTGCTACCGACTTTGGAATCTGAATCAGTTATACGAGTAATAATTTTGGTATGTGCTTACCCTAAATTCGTCGTTTTGGTGAAAACTTTCAAAAATTGTTTTATTTATTCATTTTATAGGCCATATATTTAGGTTTTCAAAAGTGCTTTATTTTTGTGTTTACGATAAATAGAAGCAAAGTTATAGTATAAAAAGTAAACCGGAAGTGAATTTTTTGGATGCCGGAAGTTAGCATTTAAATGGTCGTAAAAATGTAAACAATAAGTTTAAACAACTATTTTCGAATTATTAAACAATATAAAAGCTGTAAAAACAACACATCTTTCACTGTGTGACACTTTGCTGATAAAATGCCTACATGGGAAGACTCAAAACAATAATGAGTATTTTAATAACCTTTTGAGGTATATTTTACCTAAAGAAACTTTTGTCCAACTGAAAACATTGCTTTTAGGTGCAGATATTGCTGTATTATTATTTAATTCAAGATATTTAGGACTTTTACCTATTTTCAGGTATATAGAAATAGAAATTAATCCCATTATGCTTGAAAGCTACATGGGAATAGACAAACAGCGAATTCAGAAATAGAAACGCCAATCTCTACAAGCAGCAAACTTAATCAGTAAAATGCTAAAAGAAAGTCAAAATTAGTTAAGAATGAAGTAAAGGAGGGCCTAACATACAAATACGGCGAGTTTTAAAGGTCTAAAGTGACTACAAAATTTTTTGTGCTGTATTAAAATCTTTAAATGCATTTTCTGAGAAATTGTGTTTTCGTTACTTTTGATTGCGATTACACTAATTTTTCAAAATGTATTTAGAATATTGAAATGGAATTTTTCCAAAATGTTTTATTCATCTTTATCTGTGTTCTGTAGCAAAATCTTACCTCTTTGTATTTATTTATTGATTTTATTGACAGTATTTGTAAGAAAAGAGGATTTTTTTTTGTTTAAATTTTGAGTTTTTGCACCAAGTTTTGAATATTTCAAAAAATTTTATAGGTACTGCAAATCTTTTGCTACAGAACACAGGTAAGTCTGTTAATTATATACTGTGTAAAGATTAATGAAGTATGTTCATTAGAATTTATTTTAGGAGATCTGGCGTAAATGAAAATTTTCACTAAAATTTGTACTAAATATTGCCTATATTTGAAAAATTAATGAAACGTTCTATAAAATTCCATTTAAATTCATAGTTTTATATCCCATCTTACTCAAAAACATGTGTGTTTAATTAAAATTTTATGTATTTAAAAAAGGGCTCCGTATGTAGGCACATACCTTAGGATATGCTGTTTCTCAGAAATATCAGTTTTATTGGAAGTAATACCGCATTCCCCGTGTGTGCTAATGGGGTGTAAGTAGTTGTCATGTCCAAGTGGCAACCGAAAAATCTGTGATTCGAATTCCCACCGAGGGGATAATTAATTTCTCGCATTTCCTTGGCTCTATAAAACCTCGTGTCCCTACCCAAAAGCGCATTTAGCAGCCAATCTTTCCTTATCCATCTATACAATGAATGATTCTTAAGTATCCTTGCGTTTATTTTGAAATTATTTATTTATGTTTATATGGACCGATAAAATTCAGGTCCTTTGTTTAAAACTTATTGTTTATGAAAACAGTTGTCATGAGTTTGATGGAAACATAATGGTAATGAATGCTATTTAATTTTCTACAGTGGTTAAAAAAAGTTGAAGATTCTGAACTGCCAGCTCTAGAGAAAGAGCATCATGATATTATTAAAGTTCAAGGTGAAAACTTCCGAGTTCTTCAATCATCAGAGGTTGTGGAAAGATCAGATGGCTCATTTCTGAATAAGTTGACTATTCCCGAAGTATTTGAAGCTGACAGTGGGAAATACATTTGCCTTGGGGCAAATGCAATGGGTTACAGTTTTCGCAGTGCATATCTTACAGTGTTACCAAGTAAGCTATAGCAATAAGTCAAAATATTTCAGTAAGCCTAAGACATGTAGGCTTAATTAAATTTTTAAAAAATCTCTATTTTGCTAGTTTCATACATTCCATGCAAATCTGAATTCTGAATTTAATTTAAGTAACTAATATGTCAAGACTAAGGTAAGACTTTCTACGTTTCATTACATTAGAGCCCCGAGCACTACCTCTCGGCTGGAGCAGAAGTGTTGCTGTCCATCCAGGCCATCCAAGCTCCTTACTAGTAGCCATTCCAATAACATTAGGTGTACTTGTTGGTGTTCTTGTTGCACTTGTAGTTTTATGCCACCGCCGAAGGCTAGATACCTCTGTACCACTTCAAGCTTCAGGGTACCGAAAGGAGGATATGAAGAGGCCTGCACGAACAGCAACCACAATATTGGATACAAATGATGATAAGAAAGTGGACATCGGACAGTTTTCTGCTGATGAAACAGATGGTTTTAAAGAGGACCTCCCATGCACATCAAGGTTGCAATCTGAAGTTGAGCTTGAAGGAACCGGGACCGTGGTAACTAAGTTGTGCATGGAGCAGAATTCTTCTAGCAACTATGATGGTTGTTTCGTAATGAAAAATGACGTGTAATAAGCTTTGGTAAGAATCGTTTGTTTGTTTGCAGATGTTAAAAACACATAAATTATTAAAACTATTAATAAATTCAAATTTTACTAAGAACTACTTCTAGTAGATGTAATTGCATTTGAGTGTTTAAGAAGTTAATTGATTAATTTTTTAAGTTTGTATTAATTATATTTTATTCAAGCACATTTACTTTGCTGTCTTTAGAGTATTATTTAAGTGTGTCAGGTTTTACTAGTATTCAAAATCTATAATGTAGGGAAAATATGTTTTCGCTTAAGAGCTAATAAGATTTATTTTGTAAAATTATCAGCTTGTTATATAAGCTAGTGCGCGCATCTTAAATAAAATCACAGACAGTATTTTTTTTTACTTAATTTTGGGGACGTAATATTTCATTATGAATACAAGCCATTTAATTGAAATTAAAACATCTCATACTAGCTAATAATTCTGATTTTTAAAATGAAATAATATTATCAGACAATTTTGGCAACTGTTACGATAATGATAACTACTAAAATTCAGGGATATATATTTAAATTGCTTAAGTTACCAGTAATTCGAATTTGTAATTCGAATAGCTCTAATGTGCTCGAGAGATTTTCTAATTTATGTCACTTCCTTTATGCTTTAGCTCAGTTAAGTTTAACAAAATTTTAATTTATTTTTCCTCAACATTGTACTATGACGACCTCACTGCATTATCCACACATTATGACTAACAAATTGAGTTTTAATTTAAACTCATTTGTTCCTTTCATTTCTGAAGTTTTATTTTAGCATTCCAAATATAAATATTTCGTAATTTTATGTAAGCAATGATCATGTAAAAAATTAAATAAGCTTTTAAGTTGTAGAAAAATATGTGTGCTATTTAAAAAATATTTTAAACTTTTTTTCAGATATCCCCAAAAAGGAGTAAGATTCATAGGAAGCTTATTCTACTGCATATAAATATTTATCGTTGTAAAACTTCAAAGGATCACTAATTCGATATCCATAGTGACTATTTATCTGTATTTTAAATCCATATTTTTAAGCAAAAAGTGCATATTTTAGTCTACAGTTTATTGTCAAAGTGTACTTATATCAAAAGATATATGATCATCAATTTATTTCAATATTTTAAGTCATTTCCTCCATCTGGTGTTTCTATTTACTTTTTAAACTTAAAAATTGGAAAATTAACCGCGGATGATTGATTACTTTGAATGTTTTTGGAAAACGGAAAGTAAGATAACTGAAAAATATTATATTAAGGCTATCTTCCTGCACAAGTAATAGCTATTTATTTTGATGTAAGTTATTTCGCTTTGATGTATTACAATCTAAGTCTAACAATTTTATGAGAAATGAATGTAATGGATGGATTGAAGTTCTTAAATAAATATTTTAATTCTTATGAATTTTCTTGAAACTTCTAATGGAACTGTACATTTCCTCACGATTTTCATATCATAGTTATATTTTTCGAAAGCATGATGAAACATAAAGGTACGCACGACTATGCAGTCTCAGATTAAGTGACCGGATTATACGTAGATGTCAACGTTACGAAATGTGTACTGGGATGTCATGAACTATACTTAGTTCAACCTATTTTATTTTGGATATTTTATTCTGATTACAATTACGTGCATAATGATGAGATCTTCAGTATAATATTTAATACAATTAATCAAATTACTGCAACTATTTTGAAAGCTGTAATATAAATTTATCAAACGTTTTAAATTTAGGAAATGTAACATATGTATTGTACTTAAAGGTTAGCATAAGACAGAGGGAAAAAATTACAGTTTTCCCATCTAGTTTCTTAGCCATTAAAAACATGAAGTTCAATTTTATGGAATCCATCTCATTGTAATCGAGCTTCCAATTTTGTAAATGCGCTTAATTCTTTTACCTTCCCAAAACGCGTAATGAAAATTAAAATTTACATACATTTATTTGGATAATGAAAGTTGTTTCAATAAAATTTTCTTAATTATTGCTAAGATTATGTAATTATGTCATTCACTGAATGCCTTATATTTTAAAAATATTTGGATCTTTTCTTTTATTCTCAGATTATTGCTAAATTAATTTATATTTTATTAGGTTAAAGAAACCAAAATATTCTTAAGATCCAAAGCTATAAAATTATACTAATTTTCTGGCCTTTTATAAACAAAGAAATTTAAGAAAGTCTCAGTTTTCTGCCTGCATCAGCCGTTAAATAATAACTGTGTCTAGTATGCAAACGTTTTTGTTAACTGTATTTAAAATGCACAATATTAAAAGTCTTGTATTCAGTCCTTTAGAAACTCAGGAATAATGCTTATACTTCATATACCTAAACAATAAACTTTGCTCCTTTTCTTCTATTTTATTTATTACGGAACATTATTTTCTTTCACTAGCTTTAGAAAACGTCTACAAGAAAACAACAGGAAAAAAAAAACATTTTAATGAAATAGTTAATGATCAGTTTAGCTTTACTTAGTTTCATTGGACCATTATATGAGTTTCCATTGAAAGAGAACAATGTTTCAATGCTTGAAAAAGGCACTCAGAATGAATAAAAAATTACATTTTTATCAGATATGTATTCTGAATGTAAATGATACGCATTTTATTTCATAAGTAAGTATATTTACGCATGGTAATATTTATTTATTGTATTTGACTTGTATTAGTGTTAGCTGCTTAGATACATAGCTACTTATGGAAGATATTTCCTGTGCTATTATGTGTTGTTTCTTAATAGCATATTAACCAATTGCTTTGGGTGTAAATTATTTCTGATATTTTTGAGCTTTTTCTATAAAATGGATTGCCGTCTTTCAGACACTTTACTTATATGTAGTGCTTGTTAACATTTGAAAGAACGAATCTTTTCTGAATGATAAATTTGCTCATATTTTAAGAAGTATTTGGTTGATACTTCTTACATTTCAATAAGGTAGGAATGAAATGAATGTAAGGATAAGAAAACGTATGTGTATAGAACCTTTAGATATGTAATAAAATGGGGTCTAAGGTTTTAAAAGTTTCCACATTATTTCTTCTATTTTTCAAGTACCTTTTAAGTGAAGATACAGAAAATGTATATAAAACGTAGCAGAACTGATTCAAAAAATTAATTGCCTCCAAAACAATCTATTAGCTAGATTCTACACTATAAAGTATCTCTTCCCATGGCGATATAAATTAATTCTGTACGTGACAGCTATCAACACAGGCTGCAATATTTCTAAGGAAATTTCTCTAGAAAAGTATAATATCTTTCATATTTTATCAAAGCATTACTTTAGTTTAATCACAAGAGGGTTGATTTAAGTCTCAACGCTTACTAAAGTTAAATTTTTATGTTAAAACAAATGAAAGAAATATTAAAAACAGTTTGCATCTTTGTCATTCTTGTATAAGTTAGCGAAATTATCATTGACAAGCAAGCAAAAGATTTTAAGAAAAGGTGACCCCCCTCGTGATGATAATTCGAATAACTATGTAACTCTTTATGTTCATAACGAAAAATGATTAAATTTTCTATGTTAACTTTATTCTAAAACTATTAATATTAAATTTATGAAACTTTGTGAAACAATTGAGTGCTTATATTTCTTTTTACGAATGATCATACCATAATTAACGAATTTTGACTGAAAGTATTGGTACTTTTCCGCTTCGCCAGCGTAAGTATTCAAGCCCTATAATTATAACCGTAATCCAAAACCAAAAGTTAACTAAACTTCGATTTTATCTTCATGTGAAAGTTTAATTTAATACAATACATAATGAAGTTCTCACGTTCTTAACTACATGTATATAATTCGAGGCGAAAGGCAGCAGTGTTATATTTAGAGAAATTTAGAGAGATTTAATCGGTATTTAAGAGCTTCCTTTAACGTTTTCATAAATATTTTCAAGTTTAATAAATGATATTCTCTGAAAAAGATCATCAGATTCATCACATTGATGAAACAAATGTAATTTTAGTTTTAATTATAAATTAACATTGTTTTGAAATAATTCCCTAAATTCAGAAAAATCATTTAATAATCGTTCCTTCAAATTAACGACCAAGTATTTTACATTTTTGAGAGATATTTTATTTTATTTATTTCTATTATAATTCAAGATATTCTAAAAACTATTAAATTTATTTCCTAATATAGTCACTCATTTCTGCAAGTAAATTAGCCACTATTTTCTTACATTAACTGTACAGTATCGTTTTATAAATGCAAGCGATACAAATATCTCTTTATTTAACATTAGAACTGTGGCAGAGGTAAAACTTATCCTTTCGAAACTTTATGTTATTTTAACTTCCATAGCATATTAGCAGTTCAAGTTAAATTTCATGACTTTCCTGAAATTACTCAAATTTTAAATATGTAACATTTCAAGAAAAATAATGCTTTAGTTTCATATTTAAGTATATGTCTGTATTTTAATCAATATTTTCCTAAATTAACTGTACAGTATCATGTTATCAGCACAAAGGATATAACTTTATTTAAGGGAATATCACTTCTCCAAAATAAGCGAAATTAAAATTCAACTTCAGCTGTCAGTTACTGTAGTTAACTTATATAGGGTGCGGCAGCGTTTATAGTAGGATATTAAAAGCATACCATAAGGCAGTAACTGTAATTTATTTATTACCTCTTATGTCAATCAATAGTTAAAGTTATGCCATTTACTAATGTGTAAGTCATTGTCCATTGCGTGGATTACTTTTTGAATATGATGCCTCCTCTACACAACACATTCATCTAGGCGGCGTTGGAAGCTTGCCATAACTCGGCGTAATGTATTCCCTGGGACATTGCCGACGGCAGTTCAGTGTGTTGTTGTATTAAATTATGGCAAAACACACGAGGGCTATCTGCCTAAGGGAAGGGATGGCTTTGTGGAAGACTTTCTAAGGGAAACTGGCTCTTATACACGTTACACATGGGGAAAACCACGAAAACGCCCATGCAGCCAGCCCGTTCGCGGGATTCGAACCTCGGACCGAACTACCAGTGTTCAGCGACTTTACCGCTCGGCCACTGGTGGGCCGACAGCAGTTCGGATGCGATCCTTCAACTCAGGAATGGTGGCACAACGCGTTCGAAAACTTCTTGCTTCAGGTGCCCCAAAAGTCGGCACATGAAAGATCTGGACGGTTATTCTACGCTACGAGAGTCGACAGCAAGTTGTGGGCCGCCAGATGTCGCTGCTAGTAAAAAACAGGTCTGCCCGACATCCTATATTCTCTGAGTACGGAAGTTGACGAAAGCGCGTGAAAAAGTGTTGCCGCGTCGTCAATCAGGGTTGTGCAGTTGACGTACTAAGTAGACAATGGCTTTGTATGTGTTTTCGCTGCTAATTTTTTTCATATTTAAACGAAGAATACGGTCGTAGATCTCTGAATCGGTGGCGAATTTATAGAAAATATATTGATGCTTTTGCTCTGCCAAAAGATGTTTTCATTGCGTATTTCAGATTGCCAAAATTTATAGTTATTTCAATTTGCGATGAACTGAGAGAGTATTTAGAGCCACATTCAGAAAACAAGAACGTAATTTCTACTGAAAGAAAAGTTATACTATTCCAGAAATTATAGATATAAATTGTAAATGTATGCTTTAAAAATGTAGAAGATAATAAGTTTATTATCTTCTACATTTATTATTTTTATAAAATTCATTCGCTATTACAGTATGGTCGATTGCTGCTGCATTCAGCTATCACACACGCATCAAAATGCTTTATTTTAAATAATTTATTCTATAATTAACATGAAAGAAAATATTTTTTCAATATAAAATATATAACCAAAATTAAACTAATCTCTCCTGTATGTGTGATTAATTCGTTTTGCAATTTTTGTCACACAATTACTAATACCTTTTTTTTTAATATTACATTGCTGTTACTTGAATTTTTTATATATATAAGAACTGCTCAGTTTAAATATTCTTCCTTCTCAAAAGATTTTATTTTGTGAAAATAATTAAAAGAGAGTAATATTTTCACAGTGTAAGTACTAAAGTAAAAATAATCAGTGTAGGTCTCTTGCAGAACATAAACTTTCTTTATTTAACACAAATATAGACATCCGATAAGCTTCTACTCTTTATGTACAGCAAGAATTACGTTTACTTTAATATCTAACAGTTGAATACCTTACGAATAATACTGCGAACACAAAAAGGAATGTCGTTCATTATTACGCGAAATTCACACTACTGTAAAATAAAAATTAAAAAAAAAAATTATAAAACTATAAAATAGCTTTATAATATCTTTTTCAGTAGCTGTACTACTACTAGTGTGATACTTTTCAAAAATAAGTTTTAGCTCAGAGGGGCTATTAATTTCGTTTTGCCATTTTGTGGCATTTTCACAATAAATGGCGTTTCACTTTTCA